TGTATCAGAGATTGAACTCACGAACTTGCACTTGCAAGGCAGATGGTAGAACCACTGAGCTAAATCACCGGCCCAATTTCTTTATATTTATATTTATGTTTTGTTTGTTTTTTGAAACATAGCCTCACTATGCAGTTCAGGCTGGCCTCAAACTCTCAGTAACTCTCCTGCCTCAGCCTCTTGAGTGCTGAGATTACAGGCGTGCACCACTATGTCCAGAAAAACACTTTTCCCTGGAACCTGGTAGATGAGTAACACAGGATTGGTTTACTCAAGGTGTCAAAGAGCCCTGGAGGGTGAAAGAGGCCCAGATGTCCAGCTCTCAGTCCATCCTGCCCAGCTGGCCTGGTGACCTCCTGGGGTCTGGACAGTCCTGGCTTCTGCAGCCTTGGTGCCCTGGAGGGGGGCAGACCCTGTTTCCTGTTGTCTCACCATGGGGGTCAGCAGGGTACAGCCCTTCACGGACCTGGTGGCCAGCATAGGAGATCTTGGGCGGTGTCAGGGGGTAGGCCAGGAAGGAGAGCTGTGGCCACCTTGTCAGGATGGGCCAGGAGCGCCAGGAAGGCCAGGACCCGCATCCAGGAATCAGTATGGGAACAGAGCCATGGACGGAACAGCGCACATGTCCCTAGACGCAGCGCTGGCGTGTTGTGAAACAAATGGAGGCTTGTGTGCTGCACAGCTCATTGTTTTCCAGAAGCTTCTAAGCAACAGCCCCATGCAGGGTGGCTGAGGAGCCTGAAGGGTCCGCTGCAGCCATGTTCCCTGTTGTACAGAGAGTAGCTTAGCTTTGTGATATAACAGACTGAGTTACTAAACTTCAGAGGGCTGTTGGACAAGGCCACATGCTGAGCGGGAAGCCTCCGCCATTTTCTAACTGCCCGCACTTTTCCATGTGGCCTCTAGAAGGAAGGTTGTTCAGGGTGTGGTGCTTCTAGAACCTTCTCCTAACGGGCCCATCTAAGTCGGGCCCGGGTCTGGGCATGCTCTCCACTTGTCTGCTTGGAGTCCCCACACATATAATTTATCCCGCACGCTCGGTGCTCCTTGACGAATGTTCTGGACAGCTATCTGCATTCAGAGCCTCCCTGGACCCAGAAGCCTGCCTTGAGGGCAGCTCCTGAGGCTCGAAAACTTGAGGCAGGAACCAGGAAGAATACCAGGACGCTGACAAAGCTTGAGGAGCAGTGGACCACACAGGGAGAAAGTGCAACTTTCTGCTCTGGGTTCAGACGAATTCATTCCTGAACTCGGCTGTTTCTGTCAGGGACCTGTCGGATAAAGGAGGAGGAGGAGGAGGAGGGGCCACCACAGCCCACATGGTTTCCTCTTGTCCTGCTGTCTTCCTTGGCCAAGATGGGGTCCTCGTGCTGACCCCGATCCTGGAGGAGGCGAGGTTTCTCCCGCCCTGAAAGCGGCCCACCTCTGGGCAGAGTCTGGGAAGGACGCGCTGGAGGTTTGCTCTTGTCACCTGACACCGCGCTTCGTGACGAGAGCCTGCATTCCACGCCAGCCCTTGCACCACGCAGGGACCTGTAACTCGGCTTTCCTGGTGTGTGCCTGCTGTGGCAATGGAAGGCTCGAAGGTCTCCCCAGGGCACCTTTCTGGGGAGGAGTAATTTAGATTATGAAGGAGATCACTGCGGAAGAAAGTCATCCTACATTTTCCCAGAATGTATACATGGAGAACTAAGGAGGGTCCAGGTTCTCTAGAGGGACAGAGTCAGTAGACATCTGCCTAATTACCCAAGGGCACCTACCAGGTAGGCTCACAGGACCGGAAGCAGGAGAGCCCTCTGTGGCCATCACACGCTGACCAGCTGAGGGTCCGGCCCGGAAAGGCAGAGGCTGCAGAACAGCCGGGTCCAGGGTGCAGGACCAGTCCAAGGTTAGAGGCCTGGAAGCTCGCTGTCCTGTCACAAACTGGCTCCTGAGCCGCAGCTTGGTGGGTGCCGGAAGACGATGTAAGACAACCAGGTCAGAGACAGAGGGCCAGTCACTACCTACGGCAGCAGAGAGCAAAGGATTAACATTCACACCGGGCCGCGAGCCCCAGTGCCGCAGAGGAGCAGGCAGACAGCTGGCCGAGGGGCCCACAGGTGAAGAAACCAAATCTTTCTTACTGGGTGGACCTTGCAAGTCTGCAAGCCGGCCAACCCTTCCTAGGAGTGAGGCCCTGTGCCTTCCGGTGCTGATGACACCCCCTGCACAACAACAGCCTCGCCTTCTGTCTGTACTGTAGGGGCTTCTGCTGAGTTTCCCTGAGGCCCCTCTGATGTATGTGACTGACAGAGGCTGGGGCTGATTCATCAAGTTTTATTCGTACAGGCTTTAATGAAATCAACCATGAGCAGTCCTTCGAGCAACAGGATGGAGCACTGTACAGTACTGATGGCGGCCATGCTGCCCAGGGTCCTTGACCCAACCAGCTGTAAAACTCCGCAACCATCAAAGTTTGCTCCTGAGCATTTCCTACTGATTTCCTCTTGTCCAGGGCATTGATCCAGCGGCAGCAGGATGTCCAGTGACTCTGGGGGCCCCCTCTTGGCCTACAAGGAGGAAGTCCAGGAAGAAAGTTCCACCATCCACAGCAACACCACCCAGGTAGCTTGGTGGCCCAGAATGTTCTCCAGAATCAAGGTGGTAAAAACCAGGGATGTTGTATTTTAGGACCTAAAATGGCCCCCAAAGCCCTGTGTGTCTGGAAGGTGATTGGACAAGGAGGGTGCCAGAGCCGACTCACTATGAGGAGGCGGGGCCTGTTTGGAAGAGGTGGGTCACGGGGGCGTGGCCTGGGGGGCTTCATCTCCTTCCCTGGCTTGGCCCTCCTCTCTCTGTTTCCTGGTCACCATGAGGTGAGCAGAGCTCCTCCGCCAGACCCTTCCACCATACCTCCCTGCCTTGGAGCCAACCAGTTTTTCTCATGGGTTTATAAAGGAAAATGCCCCGAGGATGTATGGATAAAGTCCCAGGGACCAAGGAGGCTCATTCTGGAGAATTCTCTGAGATAATCTGAGGGGTATGTGAGCCACAGGAGTTACTTCCTTAAGCACCCAAAGGTCTCTTATGACAAATCTTTTTTTTTGGGGGGGGTGAGACAGGGTCTCGCTTTGTAGTTGAGACTGCTCTGGAACTCACTATGTAGCCCAAGCTGGTCTCGAACTCACAGTGATCCTCCTGCCTCAGCTTCCCGAGTGCTGGGATTATAGGTGTGCACCACCACACCCGGCTTTCTTATGACACATTTTAAGGCCCAAGTACCCTAGAGGTTGACAGAATGGAGCCTAGGCATCTGCATTCTACACAGCCAGGAAAATTTTCCTCTCCTCTGAACTTTCCCAGAAAACATGATGGGTGCTCTGGACTTTGGTCCCACTTGGGGAAAGAAAGACGTCCATCCCACTCTTTTGTAATCTTCCTCCTTAAATGAGCTGTGGCTGAGTTAGATGGAGATGAAAGGATGGATTTTCTAAGCATAATACAAAAGGGTGAAGTTTGTCTTTATGATGATTTTTGAGTCTCAAATTGTGAATACCAAATAAATGAAATAAATTAAAATTTAAAAGTCAATAGAGGGCCAGGGATTTGGCTCCGTGGTTCTGCTGCCTGCCAACCAAGCGCAAAGGCCGGAGTTCTATCCCCAGTATTAAAAAAAAAAATTAATAGAGCTGTGCCTGATGTCTGCCATTATCTCAGCTACTTGAGAGGCTAAGGCAGGAGGACCCCCAATTACAGGGCAGTCTGGGAAATTAGCAAAATGTAGCTCAACAGTAGAATGCTTGGCTACCACCTGAGAGGTCCTGGGTTCAATCGCCAGTCCTGCAAAATAAACTAGCAAAGATCTTAAAATATTTTTGACATGTGCTTTATTCTAACTCCACGGAGCTGGGCTTGGCTCGGGAACTATTTGAATCAACATAACACGCGTAAGACTGGCGGCCTCAGGAGACGTGGGATGCCACCAGCTGCAAGCTCCTGACCCCTGCACGGAGAAGCACCCCCGAATGCGACCCTGAGCACAGCCCGCGGCCTGTAAACCCGGAGACCCCCACCCTGAGGCAGTGACGCAGCCAGCCACAGAGGAAAGAAACGCTGATTGTGTGCGCCCCCGGGAAAGGGGGACTGTTCCCCCGCGGACCAGGGCGCACATTGTGAGTCCTGTCACGAGAGCAGCAGTTTTGGGCAACCGGTGGTGCCAGCAAAATAAGAAGACTGGGTCCTTTATAAAGAACAGAGCTTTGCTTCTTACATTTCTGGAAGCTGGGAAGTCCCAGGGTGAGGGGAGCCCACATGGCAGCACCCCGGGTAGAAGGGGAAGGAGCAAGACAGCACGTGCGAGAGGGGCGGGAGAGGGACAGACTTTCGGTAACAAACCCACTCCGAGAATGAGAAAAACACCAGTAAGCCCCTCACGAGGACAGAGCGCCTCGTCCCAGCACGTGAACACTGGAGGACGCACAGCCCTGGAAGCTGGGGTCACAGCGACGCGGGGAGGAGCCCGGACCATGGTCGCCTGTGCCGGCCTCCAGGCAGAGCCGCGTCTGTGTCCGACCCTGGTCACCTGCCTCAGCCTTGCCCAGAGCAGCTGCTCAAGGACTAAAGGCACAGCCCGGATATCTGGAGCTGAGGTGCACACGGAACCCGGGCTGAGCGACAGATGGAGGATCTACTAGAGCAAAATTATCCAACCTCGTATCTGCCTTGATGATGGTTTCTACGCGATCTTCCACACGGGCCACGTCAGCCCCTGCGCTCGGCCTGGGCTGAGGCTGGGAGAGACCAAAGCCCCGCGCGCCCTGGGACGGCTGGGGGCAGGCAGCTGGGGCAGCCGGACCAAGACCCGGAGCCAGTCCGGGCGGGCCTGGAGCCGGAGCACTGCCGACCCACCACCAGCAGGCAGAGCATCGGCCTCCCTCCGCCTGCGCCTGCACAGCCGCCTCATTTCATGGGCCACTGGGCTGAGGGCTGTTCTGGAAACTGCTGTGGAAAATGGGGTCCTGGGGGAAAAGCAAGTCGATGGTCTACTTTAGGTTAATCTGTTACTTTCACCTAGGCCCAGGATCCCTGGTGGGAAACGGGGTGAGAAGGGCCTCCTAGATCCCCGGGACCTCAACACCAGACAGGTGAGAGGCACCCACAGGCCCGAGGGGCACGTTTGGCCAATGCTGTCACACCCCAGAGTGGACCAGGACAGCTTGCCTCCTGCCTCGGTGCCCTCCTGCCACCCATGAGGTTGCTGTCAGGCCACCATGCAGGCTGCTCCAACAGCAGCTGCAGCGTGGCCGGCAGATGCATGCCCCTCGCCCCCCTCGGGCCACCGCTGCCACCTCTGAAGAAGGGAGGGGGACAGTCCTGCCATGGCTAAGATCCAGAGGGGAGGGTCCGGGCCCAGTATTAACCGCAATCCCCCTGAAGATTCCCCAGTATTCAGGGAGGTCTGAAGCTGTCAGTCAACCAGCTCACCTGCCACCATGAGGGCTGAGCTGTCCTGGCTGCCCCACTCATTTGAACCAACCACAAGCCTGTATATGAATCAATCAAAAGACCCGAATTTGAACCAATCACAGGCCTGCAGCTGTTCTAGAAGCAGCCTCCCTTCACTTTTCTTGGTTTGTCTAGGAGGGCTCTGTCCAGTGTGCTGAACCCATGTGCTCCTGCACAGATCCTGTTAAAATAAAAACTCGCTCCAGTGGTCCTATAATCCGCTCGTGATACTCAGGTATCCCGAGTTACGCAGGTCCTGTAAACCTACTGAAGACCCCTGAGTAGTGGGGACAGAGTGGTCACTTCAAAAGAAGAAGCAATAAATACTAGGAACATTAGCCTGAAGGACTCTGTCATGATGCACCTGCCTTGGAGCAGCCTACCGTGGACTGAACCCTCCGATACTGTGAGCCCGACTCAGCCTCCTCCTTTACGCTGTGGGTGGTATTGTCCAGCAGTGGGAAAGCGAAGACACCCGGAAACCTTTCCCTCCAAAAGGCATCACCTTCACCGACTGGAGCCAGCGGCCAATGGACTGACCAAGTGGGTTGGCACGGACCGTGGGATGGCTTCATGCTCTAGTCCAATTCCCCGGAAGCAGACTGCATGGGCCTGTGCCCTCTATTCACGACACACGTCATGTCCATGGCCCAGGACCCTCTCGCAATGGACATCAGCGGAAGCAGCAAGGTGGCCAGCTCTGCAGAGCCCAGGTAAGAACCATGGTCACCTGCACATCGCCTCACACAGCGTGGGAATCCAAGCCAATGCTTCGTGACACCAGCACGAGGCCCAGGAAGGCTGCCGACTGTGCCTGACTGCCAGCTGCACGGTCAAGGGGCAAAGGGACTGCAAGGGCCATGGTCTGGTCCCGACAGGCAGTGTCTCCCAGAGCAACACCGGGTGTCGGCTACAGTACAGGCCTTCCCCACCCGCAGAGCGGATTGTGCCCCCGACGTATGGACGTGCCCTGGGACCCCTGATCCCAGCAGGCAGACGAGGGTCGGAGCTCCAGCAGTGGGTGGCTACCCAGGCGTCTGTGAGACATTTAGGGTTCCCTGTCGCCCACAGGCAGCAGATGCCGTTAAAGATGAGGTGGACTTTTTACAAAAATGGAGGAAGTAAGCACGTCCTAACTGCGATAGTTCCCCAGAAAAGCACCCCTCAAATACAAAGTTTGCTTAGGAGGAAGCGGGGAGGCCCAGCTGTGAGGCCCTAGCTCTGTACGTCACTCTGCCATCCCCTCAGTGCCTGCCTTCAGCAACAGCCACTGGAACCCATGTCAGAGACAAGGTGGGTGGAGGACAGGGCTCCCTGATCCCAAAGGAGGCTGGAGAGGTGCTGGGATCGCCATGGTATAGCAGGACGGGGTAGAGGTTCTTCCTGTCATGGGCCAGGAAGCTGGTAACAGTTGGAGGACCCTATGAGCCACCATAGTCCTGGGTGTGTGGAAATCCGCCCTCCCACCCGGGGACTTTCTCGGGGATGCCACAGCTTCCTGGCTGATACGGTTTAGATCTGAAATGTCCCCCACAGGCTCATGTGTTGACAGCTGTCCCCAGCTGATGACTCAGGAGGGGGCCCAGGTTGAAGGAAAGTCACTGGAGGTATAATGGGAAGGTGTGTCTTGTCCTCAGCTCTCCTCTGCCACACTGTCTGCCGTGGTGTTTCTGCCTGGCCACCAGCCTGAAGCAATGTGGCTGGCTGACCACGGACTGCAACCTCTGCAACAAACCTCTCTTCCTCTAGGTCACTCTTCTCAGGAGTTTGTCCCAGCGATGACAGCTGACTGTAACTGGCAGAACCAGAGCCCTGGCCCTGTGTTCAGATCTACGTGATGGGTAGAACGAGACCAGAAGCCTCTCCTGTTTCTTTTGCAGGCAGCCATGAAGGGGCAGCCAGAGCTCTATGGTCCCCGATGGGGCCCAGCCTTGGTTCAGTGTGAGCAGCTCTTTTACAGGGAGGAGGCTGCCCAAAGACCCAGTCCTGCACCTGGTGGGACCCACTAGAGCCACCATTTAAATAAAGCCCAGAGCCCCACACCCTACAGGCCCTGAGCCCAAGGTGCTTATCAGTCGGGGCCCAGGCAGGCCTCGTGGGAGCCTGTTGTGTCCCCACAGCCCACAGAGGCCGCCAGCTTGCCGTTCTCGACCTGCGTGGGACTTGCTGGTGGTGAGGCAAGGTCCATGCACACAAGGTGAGCGCAGCACAGCTCCTGGACTCCAAGTCCACACCCAGCAGGCCAGAGGCAGAGCCAGGGAGGACGCAGATCCTCAGGGACACCACTGGGGTCACAGCCCGCTGGAGCCTCTGGCCGGGAACGCAACAACAGGGACGACGAGACTGAGACAGCAGGGTTTCAGCGACGGCCCAACCAACAGACTACAGACAGACGCAGAAGGACTCCAGAAGTCAGCAAGGTGGCACCAGGCCCTGGTGGACCATTGCCCCGTTTACAGAGGGTGCCTCCGGGGCACACAGGGGGTGGCCTGGTCAAGAGGACACAAAGCTCAGGCTACGAAAAGCAGGGGCTCCTCACCCCCAGTTACGGGGTCATCAGAGCATGGTGATGCAGCCAGCCAGGGCAGTGGGAGGTTGCCTGAGAGAAAGACGGCACCAACTTCCCCAGGCTGTCCGGTGCCTGGAACTGGCTCCCGGACAGACAGGCAGCACGTGGCAGGTGCAGCTACCCGAGGTCCCGGAGGTCCCAGTGGCCAGGCAGCTGGCGCAGCCTCATGTCCTGGACGCACTTGTAACAGGACTGGGGAGAGAGGTGAGGTTGGACCACGTGCACGGGCGCCTGCTCAGCCTCAGCCCCGTCCTGCGGGCGGTGTGGGGCTCCCCTCTCCCACTGTGTCCCGGATGTGGCCGGGAGGTCCCCAGGATGGTGTCTGCGGCTTCCACACGGGGCTCACCTCCAGGGCCGTGAGCAGGAAGTCATACCGGCCACCTGTGTGGACCGGGTCCATCATGTCCTGGATCAGGTGGATCTCAGCCCCCAGATGCTGGATTCTGGAGAGCACCTTGTCCCCCAGGACAGCGACAGAGGGGGGCGGAGGGAGGGGAGAGAAGAGGGAGGGGGAGAGACAGAGAGAGACAGAGGGGCCCGTCACGAACCAGCGTGGAGAAGGGGAGGAGGGCTGGACCCCAGTGTGGCCCCTGCTCCGCCTGCAGTGCCCATGGGACCCCGGGGTGCTCCTCTCCAGGCCTTGGCTTCCCATCTGTCGTGAGGCAATGGCCACAGACATCGGGGACTGCGGCATGGCAGGAGGGGTCCTCACCGTGCCCGAGACACCACATAGATGAGCAGCGGCAGCAGGTTGTCCATGGGCAGCTTGTACTCCCGGCCCAGCACGCGCGACACAGTGGCCTCGATCTCCCCGTACGTCTTCTCCAGCACCTCCAGCTTCTCTCGGGGGTCCACTGTGGTGCTGCAGCAGGGTGCCAGCTCCAGGTCACGGCCCCGGGGACCCCACGTTCCTGCACCCCGCCCCACCAAGCCCTGGAGGACTCACACGATCTTCTGCAGACACTCGATGGCCGACAGGAAACATCTGTCCCTGACCAGGGAGCTCCGCTGGGGAGAGGCCAGGGGAGGCTGGGGTCCTGGCGCCAAGCCCTCCGCCACCATCACGGACACCGCACAGCCCACGCAGAGGACAGAGGGACCCTAGCTACACTGCAGGCCTCGCTCCGGGCAGCTCTGACGGGGCAGCTGGGCTCCGGAGCCCTGACACTCACCTGATTACTCGTCAGCCGCAGGTCCTTCAGGGGCCACAGGTGCCTGGAACAGGAAATGGGAGCTCAGGGAACAGACAGTCTGCATCCCACAGGAAGGAGGAGCGCAGGCAGGAGAGAAAATGGTCCCACCAGCATGGCCTGGGGCACATGAGGAGGGCCAAGGCAGGAGAAGCCAGGAGACTCCTGAGCAAGGCGTCCCTCAGCACCACATGACAGAGGAGGCCCATGTGTGGCAGGAGACAGTGGCTGTGCGCCCCATGAGGACAGGAATAAGTCACTTGCAGTGTCAACATATCAGAGTTGCTAAGGAGAAACATTTTTTGATGGTGGGTAGCATGGTAGGTAGCTCACACCTGTTACCCCAGTACTTGGGAGGCTGAGGCAGGAATATCACAGAGAATATAAGCCAGCCTGGGCTATATAGTGAGTTCAAGGCCAGCCTGAACTGCAGAGCAAGACCCTGTCTCAGAAAAAAAGAGTGAAGTCCTCAGTTTCCCCCTCGGGGACCTCCTGTCCGCACTCTATCCAAGTGCCCCATGCTGGCCTGGACATGGAGGTAGGCCCGGTCATTGACGAAGTGTTCCAGGTGGGCTCAGGGGCCCAGGCCAGGCCAGCAAGGGACTTAGGGGCCCCACCAGAGCTGTTGGGTAGGGAAATGCCAGCTTCCCTTGGGGACACACGACCCTGAGCAGGGAGGGCCAGTCCTTGAGAGTGCTGCAATGTTTGTCACCACAAGGGGGAGCCAGAGAAAATCCAAAGAGAGACTGCGCTCAGCTTTGTGGAGTGGTTGAGTGCTTAGATCCAGCCACACCTGCGTGTAGACCCCAGAACCCATCCAAGTTTCCCTGAAGACAGAGCACAGGCACCGGTGGGCTCACCTGTGCACGTCCAGGAACTCCAGCAGCTTGGTGTCGGGAAACAGGTTCAGGTTGGTGATGCCCTGGCTGTACAGCCTGTCTTCCCTCTCATGCAGCAGCAGGTAGAGGGTGAAGAGCTCAGAGTAGAAGCTGGGCAGCACGAGGGGGAGCATCAGTCCATGCACCCGCCGGTCCCTGAGAGAGACGGGGACGCGTTGGGCACAGCAGGTGCATTGTGTGCACATCCCCTCCCGACTTGCCCACAGGACAGAGGTCATAGGTGGCCATGATCCACAGGTGACTAAGACACAGTGTGTGGCCACCGGCAAGGGTGCCGGCCCTGCCCAGCCACCCCTCCCTGGGGCCAGCTCACCTCGTCTCTGCATCCTCCGCCTCCTCCGGGACCTGGCCCTTGAGCTGTAGGGCCACCTGCAGCAGACCCCTGCGACCAGGGAGAGGGACACAGTCAGCTGCCACCCGTGGGCCAAAGAGCCGCTCCCAGAGCCAAGGACACAGAGCCACAGAGCTCAACACCCCAGCAACCGCGGGCACAGGGCTGGGGCCAGGGGACGTGGGCACTGAGGATGTGGGGCTTCTATCTGCAATGACCAGCAGCTCCAGGTCCCCAGAGCCTGGGAGGGCCTCGGACACCCACCCAGCACTGCCAATGGCCCTGGCTGTCATCTCCGTCCCCTGCACCCACAGCTGCACCGCTGGTTCCTTGCTGAGCAGGGCTGGGGTTAGAGGAGCTGCGCCCATCTGGAGGGCTCACCGGTAGGCAGCCCAGAGCTCCCGGGCGTGCTGCTTCACCTCCTCCTGCGCCAGCCCCTGCAGGTGCTTGTTGGCCCCGATGCCCGTGTAGGTGGCCTGGAAGGTCAGCATCAGGGTGCGGAGCAGCTTTCCCAGGGGGTGCCGTGTGGTGCTCAGAGCCTGGGAGGGGGAGGAGGTGAGGCAGACACTCAGCGCCCCCTTCCCGGCCAGGACGGCTTCCGGGCAGGACCCTCACCTTGTGCAGGTACCGCCGTAGGGCTGCGGGCTCCCGGTGCTGCAGCAGCTCCTCCAGGACGTCCTCCATCCTGCCTGCTTTGTCCTTGAGGCAGCCCCTGGGTGGCACAGGGCACAGCGTCGTCTCTGGGCCAAGCCCGGGCCCAAGCCCAGCACCGGACCCGCAGGCCCAAGCCCGCCTCACCTCTCACAGCTCAAGTAGTCCCTCGAGCTCTGCACGTGGAAGCCCAGCAGGGCCTCCTGCAGCTCCCCGGGGCAGCCGGCATTCACAAATTCCCAGAAGGGGCTGTAGACGCCCCGCCAGCGGCTCTCCACGGGCAAGGCGCCCAAGCCCAGCTGCCTGTGCCAGATGGGACAGGCGGCGAGAGGTGAGCTGCAGGCCCAGGAGATGGGGAAGACAGTGGAAGACGTGACCTCAAACAGAGGGGGCAGGAGGACGAGCCCTGTGCCAGAGAACCCCAGAATCCCAGAAAGGTGGAGACTGGAGGTCTGAGCTGAGGCCAAGGCCCAGCGGCAGTCTTGGCCCTAAAGAACCTCTGCCCTCAGCTGGCCACACCGGAGGGACACCTGGCCACGCGCCTCTAAGGGACAGCGTCACACCTGAGTCCCATGGCTGCGGCAGTTTCTCCAAGGGACCGCTGTCCTCTCCAGCCTGCTCTCTGAGGGAAGCCACACAGCCATGCCCTCTTCCTGTCCCAGTACCACCCTCTGAAACCCTCTGATGATGCTTGGAAACCAGTTTCCCAAGGAAGAACTCTGTCCTCAGGGAAAAAACATCTGTCCCCCTCACCGCTACACGGTGACAGCCAGAGCAGCCAGCAACTTCCTTCTCCACCTCTGCTGCTGGGGACCACATCACTATCATAGGCCCTGACTGCCTCTCTTCTAAGATCGGTTCATGATTTTCCTTTCTTTGTCCTTTTCTTGCCTGTATCTGGTTTGTAGATAGTCTCCAACAGAGCCCGCCCCGAGCGAGCTGCAGGTTCACAGCCTGGCTTCGTGTTAAAAGTCTGACTCTGCCTACGGGCCCACAGCGGTTGCCTGAAGAGCCAGCAGTTGTGTGGGACGGAAGAGCTCCCCACACTGTGACCAGTGGCTCAGTGAGCCGCGACCCTGGGACGTCCTGGAGGGCAAGACAACAGTGCAGCTAAGGGCAGCGTGACTGTACGCAAAACTTCTATAGAAGCAAAAATTAATCTGTGGGAAAAAACAACTTTCCCATTAATGGATGAGCTGTTCATTCCCTTGTTGCTAGGCCCCTGCACGGTCAGTACTCTCCACTTCGCTGTTCCCTGCACCGCCCCTTCCCTGCAAGAACTGTGTGTTCAGTAAATAGTGGCAGGCTCCAGAGTCAGTGCCCCCTCTAAGAGCTCTGACCATCCTGGGCCCCCCGTCCTCTGCCATCCTCTCCCGTACCCTTGGTTGGAAGATTGTGCAGCTTCCGGTAGGTCTTGTGCCCCCTCTAGAACAAGCCATGGGCCAAAGCCTCGGGCTCCCTGCAGGTCCGTGGTGGGGGAGGTTATCCCTGCCCTGAGCCTCTTGGATGCTTGGCTCCACCGAGACCTTGGCCAGGCGGCCGCTCACCTCTTGTGGGTGCAGCTGGGGTCCGGTGGGAGGGCAGCCGTGTCCAGCACGCCCTGTGTGTACAGCCCTCTCTCTGCCCCGCTGCCGAATGAGCCCTCCAGGGTGAAGCCGTTGGGGAAGGTGATCTTGCCCTGGGCGAGGGGACGGAGGCAGGGATGTCTGTGTGTCTGGCTGCCCGCTCCCCGCTGGGACAGCCTCACACCTGGCCATCCAGGTGAGACAGGCCAAGGACAGACAGGGTTTCCCACCGCAGCGAGAGAGAGGGAGGCCAGGGAGAAGCAACTGGGCCGGAGGGACAGGGCCTGTGCTCTCATGCACCCGGCCCCCACCCCTTTGTGCCCACAGTGCCTTCCCGTCCCTGACAAACACTCCCAGAGCCCTAGTGGCAGCGCCAGGACTCCCTGCCGGCCAGCTGAGGCAGGAGCACACAGAGGACAGTGGCCGAGGGGACGTGGCTAAAAGACCCCAGTGCCCTCTGGACACAAGACACTTCCTCCTGTCCGCTCCCGGTCAAGCCAGGACTCTGCTGCCCCTGCCCAGGCCCTCAGCTCTGGGCCCAAGGCCGGGCCAGCCGACACCCACCCAGGCCTGGAGGCCCTCACCGTCCCCTCGAGGGTCAGGTCCCTGGTGAAGGTGCCTTCGTACAGCGAGTCGTCTTCCGAGAGGAGGACCCCAGGGCCCTGGGGGAGGGTGGGCAGAAAGGTGGTAAGGGCTTGGGAGGGGCAGCCAGGGGACCCCAAGAGGGACTGTCGCCCTCAGGCTGCTGGGCCCCTCTCCCCTCTGGCTTCCCTGCAGGCCCAGGCCTGCTCTTCACCCCAGGGCTCCCCTGCTTCCCCGTTCTGGCCCAGGCTTCTTGTTTGTCATTTGTATGCTAGGGACAGTGACTGTCTCTGGAGCTCCCTGAGGGCCCTGCAGATGGGGGAGCCAGGGATCCAGGAGAGTGGGTGCCTACAGACCAGGTCAGCACTGCACACACCCTTCCGGCTGGGTCAGGGCGTCTGCACAAATACCGCTAACCTGAGTTTCGGGGAAACTGAGGCTGGCCAGGGCTGGGACTGGGCAAGGCCAGGGTGGGTGCGTGGCAGAGCCAGGGCCCTCCGGCTCCCTCCCTGTCACTCACCACCATCTCGTCGGCCTGGAAGGTACCCTGGTAGCACAGCCCCGCCTGGGTGACGACCACCCCCGGGCCGTGTCGCAGGTCCGCCTGCCACGAGCCGATGTAGTGCTCGCCCCTGGGGGAGGGGCCAGCATTGTCACCGAG